AGGTTCGTGGAAGATCTGCGGCGGAGCCTCTGTGGATAATCGCAATGCGAGATGAGGTAAGATCAGATGATATAATCGATGAGATAAGTTAAAACAGATGAGAACTCGCATGGAGATAAGGTAAGATCAGCATGAGATCACATGAGTAACCTCTAGACAATCACACGGTATACGAGGTAAGATCACAGTGAGATCTCGCATGAATATGTAAGCGAGATTAGCATAGATATTAGGTAAGATCACATGAGATAAGTAAGATCACATTGACATAAGGTAAAGATCACATGAGATAGAGTAAGAATCACATGAGATAAGGTAAGATTCACAATGAGATGATCACGTGAGATAAGGTAAGATCAGCATGAATAATCAACCATGACATAAGGGTAAAATCCACATGAGATCATAGCCATGACATAAGTAAGATCACCATGAAGATAATCACATGACATACAGGTAAGATCAACATGAGATAATCACATGACATAACGGTAAGACATCATGAGGATAATCACAATGACATAAGGTAAGATCACGTGAGATAACACATGACATATAGTAAGATCAGACGTGAGATAATACACAATGACATAGAGGTAAGATCACATGCAATAATCACATGACGATAGAGGGGTAAGGATGCACGTGAGATAATCACATGACAATAAGGTAAGATCACATGAGATAATCACAATTTGCGGGGGGGGGGTACATACGTAAATCACATGAGTAATAATCACATGAGCATAATCACATGACATAAGGTACGATCACATGCAGGTTAATCACATGACATAAGGTACAGATCACATGAGATAATCACATGAGATAATAACCATGACATAAGGTAAGATCCCATGAATATAACACATGACATAAGGTAAGATCACATGAATAATGCACATGCGATAATCACTGACAATACAGGTAAGAAATCCACATGATATAATCAACATAGTAAGCCTCTTGAATTAATTACACAAGCCATGAGATTTCCGAGCGTGCACTCCGTGGATAATACGCACAAGGAAGGAGTTTTTGAAACCTCTTGTGTGGATAAACCACCGAATGTAAGATTTTCTAAGATTTGTAACCTCTGTGATACGTACACAAGCAAATGAGAGTTTCGATGCTGTTAACTAATTTCAGATAAATTCGCATAGCGGCGCATGAGAATTATCTCGAGGGCAGTGAACCTCTGGCAAGTGATCAGACCAAGGATAGAGATTTTTGAGGCATTGACCCTGGAAAATTACACATAGCAATGAGATTCAAGTGTACACTTCCATCAAATAATCGCGCAAGCAACGAAGTTTTCTAGCATGACCTCCTGTGGATAATTGCACAATTAAGCCATGAGTTTTAAGTTAACCTCTAGAACTAGATAATCACACAAGCAAATTGAGATTTCAAGGTGGTAATCAGCAGATAAGTTGTACCGAGTGAGTTCCTTGGATCCGGCACCTCTAGACAATCGTGGCAAGCCATAAGTTATCGATCTGCAGACGATTGAATGGCGCAGGCTTGGATTTCGAACTGCAATCCAGGTTGAAAGATTGCGCGTCAATTACAAGGCGAAATAATGCGCTGCTGGAACTTGTGGCAATTCCTTGGATGGAGCTTTCCGAAGAAATGGTTCACAGTTGGGTAAAGGGGATTGGCAAGCACACTTGTAGTCTGCATTCTTCGATTTTTAGTGGCTTTGGCAGAAGATTTGCCTAGTGTGAAATAGGATAAGCTAAGGTACCAGGTACTGTACCTTAACCTAATATAAGTTTTTATATATAAAGGTATAGATAGGGGTAAGAGGAGCCTAATTAAAGGTAAGGTAGATTAAGACGCGGCACAAAGGCTGTATATATTGACAGTATAGCCTTGCATCTTGGTCGATCTTAGAAGATACAACGGCATACGAAGAACTAAGCATCGAAACAAAATTCCTAGTGCAGTGGCGGCTGCTAATCGAAGCGACTAGTATAATATAATGCCACGCACGTGTAGGTACGACACAGCAACGCACCGCACACACAGAACAGAAAGAAAGACAGACCGCAGAAGAGCGACAGACAGACAGGACAGACAGACAGACCAGACACAGACAGACCAAGTAAGGGTAGACAGATACATAGACTAGAATGTGTGTGTCCCTCTACGAAAATAAATACTATTTCGGCTCCATCGTGTTCCAACATTCACTGGAACGCTTCGCCTATCCAGAGAATCCTGATGTCCTCCCTCGAATTCTAATACGGTGTATACTCTTATGTCAAGCGTGATCACCACTAGTTCCCGCACGTGCTACCGACTCCGTCCATAATGATCACACAGTAACGTAGTGCTGCACAATATCATGCAGGAGATAATAAGACAAAATGCTTTCAAAATTCTTTCCATTTGTCTCATTAACTCCTTGGAATCATCCATCTGTAGGCATTACTGTGAAAGCAGCTGCGGGCCTCAGGGTTACGGGAATACGGATAGATAGGCTACGCCCTAATGAGCCAATGTCCACATAGTATAGGCGGGCGGAAGGAATCTAAGCTTTTTTAAAATATCATTGAAGATTTGCTCTTGAACATTTTGTCAAATCGTGTAATGCATCTGTCTCCGTGCAACCTTCCACTCACATCCGTCAAAGCTGCAAAAGGGAACATCGTGTGATTGTAGCTTCTGCAAATCTTCTCGAGTCGAATTGGCAGGCCATTTCCTCTTCATTCCCCCGCCCGCCGCCCCACCTTCAGCGTTGGATAATATGCAACAAGACGTAATCTAGGCTTGCCGTCAGGCAGGTTCCGTGGTAATAACATTCCGCAATCGAATTAAACTCGCCTTCCGACCGTCAATAAACTAGCTCTCGTCGTGCGCCTCCTAGAGAATCTCTACCTCTAGCTCTAACATAATTCACAGTACACCGCGTTATGCTTCCTGCGAAAATGGCATCAAGGATTGCGGCAAGCTAGATGAATTATTAGGACTGAAAATCCGCACACACGCGGCGTAACCCGTGCCCGGATGAAATGAAGACATGCTTCACCTACCGCTTGGAATGAACGGACGTCTCTCTCCGCTATATGGTTTTCCTCGCAAGTAATCGGAGCTATTCATGAGTTTCTGTCAGTGGAAACAGCGGACTCATCTTGGCTTCTGAAACACAGACACAATTTAGCAAGCGAGGTTTCTGAAAAGGCACACGGACAGTTCAGATGAGATATATAAAAGGTGGCATGAACAGCTATTCGATTTCAAATGTGGCAATTAGGATTTACGGAATCAATTGCTTGTGATAATTACGATGGCCTCATGATGTTTTAGTGACATTGTGCTATAAGTAGGCTAAAGCAACGACTGAACATTTTAAACATGCCGTATGAAATACAGCGCGTGGGGTTTGAACTAATGAAGGCTTAGCGATTTAGTCTTTCGAAACATTTAATGCACGACTTCCAAAAAATCCCTTCTGTAAAATCGCTTAATTGTTAATGTTACTATTATTTCCGATTCTTACATTTTAATTGGTGAAGAAAATTAAGAACGCAAAATATGCACAAAAGTCTTAAGTTCATGCATAAATGATTTAAATAGTGAAAAAAATAAAGATGAATCACAGAAAATTTAAGTGCGGGCAGCACGCCATAATAAGCACATGAATTGTCGGCTAGCTACATATGGATGTGACAACAAAGGCTTGAAACATTTTCGCAACACGTAATGCCTCATTTAACCCAGCGCAAATGATGTTCTCCTTTGCCGTAATAAAGAATTCCATATACACGTTATTAAAAATTAATGCATACAATTTTCACAGAATTTCGTGCTCGGCAAATCTTATTATGAAGCAGGAGGCTTACTTGATACAACCTTCGCCCGTCACTCTCCCCTTTGCTATAACAGTTCCCGACCCTTAACACACAGAACACTACGTAAGTACGAACTACCTAGATTGTATAACCCATCTTTCTCTATCCCTGCACATAATGCTAGATAAGGAAAATACCCACTGTAAAAAAATTACCCTCTTCGACACACTTAACCCAGCCCGCCAATCCCTCCTCTCTTGCAGGCGAAGTGGCGGTATATGCGATCAACAGAAAAGGCGTAGCAATTGGAAAAACAATGTGCGAAATACAGCGACGCAAACCGGAATCTGCATGCATCCGCGCGAGGAAAAACTCGGTGGCGGTGTGGTCACGCATGCAGCCGCGCTGTGATGGCATGCCAGGCCATGGCCGGCAGGCGCGCAGGCCATGGCGCCGTACCGCCATACCTGGAAAGTTGTGAGTGAACTGCTTGGGTGGATTCAGGTAGGTTGGCGAACCGCTCGCAGCAGCCACTGACGATCGTAGGCGCAGGTGCGGGTTGGCTAAAGCATAGGTCGTGATGAAGTCCGTGTGCCTCGCCCATCAGCGCCATGTCGTAGCTGGACGTACTCGCCTGTAAGCACACAACAGCAGTGTTCTATAATTTTTTTTTTTTGATTCCTACATCCATCCCTACATATACTCCACGTGTGCCCTGTAAGCACTGCAACAGCAGTCGTTCTATCATTCTTTCGCTACATCCATCCCTACAATACCTCTACGTGTCCCTGTAAGCACACAACAGCAGTGTATACACTTCCTACATCCATCCTACAATACTCTCACGTGTTCCTGTAAGCACACAGCAGCAGTGTTATACACTTCCTACATACATCCCTACAATGCTCTCACGTGTCCCTGTAAGCACTCAACAGCAGTGTTCTGCGAGCTTCCTACCAAGCGAATCCCTACAATCTCGCGCTCCCTCGTATCTCTCTACGCTAATGCATATCACCACAAGCGCGCTTCCTACGGCGACCGTTCAAGCGCTCGCTGTAGGTAGCACGATTTACGAAGGGCAATAAGCATTGGCTAGAGAATACATGAATTAAGATAATCTGATCGGCTAGTTCATGTAGCACCTGACAGCGTTCCTCCGGAGGCCCTCGCCTGCCTATCGTCGCAAGCCGGAATGTCGTGTACGGCGTGTCCAGCAAAGAAAACACCTGGCCATGAATGCGGTATCAGGGATGTGAATTACGACAAAAACATCTACAAATGTTTACAACCTCGCGCAAAAAATTTGTCATGATTCATATCATCCCTGAGGCCATATGTATGGTACGTACGGAGACCCGTGGCGCGTAAGAATCCCGACGCTGTAGTGAGCTGATCGCACACGTCGAGACTGATCTGCTACGTGACAGACAACGCGCTCGAGAACTCTTATCGCGTTTCTCTTTATTTACATATATCAGCAGGTTGAAATATTCGATCCGGTCGAAAATGACAGCGTAATATTCGAACCACACTGGCGCGGCAAACGCATGACAGTTACCGGAGCCCTGATGTTGACTGTGAAACAATGCGGCAGCAACTCGGGCTTAGGTACCCATGATAATAACAGGCAACTCATTACACACCGACGCACGGCGGAACCGCCTAAATGTACGCCACGTTTAACGTGCATACGTGTATAAACACGTGCGAAAGACAGTAAACTAAGCAAAACGAAATTAATATAGTTATGGAACAGATCAGCTGGGCGCAGAAATAACGTCAATCTAATAAAAGCATTCTCAATGAATCAGCTAAACCATCATTGCACGACGAAGATAAACCCAAACACGAACGTTGTATGCTAATGAACTAACCTAATTATGGCGACAATTTGGTGATGAAGTGTTTTCTCAGCCATTAGACCATCATACTCAGTACAGATGCTCAAATAATAACAGACTTCATTCAATCCATGTACGTACGCAATATTTAATGTCATCCAAACATTTGGATTTCATATTACTATTGCGTTGCCGGGCATATATAGTGTTATAGAGGGACTTCGAGTATTTTACTGTACATCCCTGTGGCAACCTATTTCTGTAGAACAAACTTTTGTGTGTGTGAGGAGCAGCAGCACAGTAGTAGAAACTAGCAATAGAAATATCTTGTAGTAGTAGTAGTAGTCAGCAAGCAGGCAGCAGTCAACAACAACAAAGCAAAAACAACAATCACAACAACAACCAACAACATACCACAACAAAGTAGCAGTAGCAGGCAGGTGAATCAGCAGAACAGCAATAGGGAAAATAGGGCAGCAATAGCTTAGCCAGCAGCGTGTAGTAGGGGCAGTGAGAAGTAGCAGTGAGAGTAGCAGTAGCCATTGCTATTGCAGTCACAGCAGTAGATCGGCAGTAAGCAGTGGCGGTGCAGGTAACAGTAGCCGTAACAAATATCAGGTTGCATTAGCCGGCAGGCGGTACGTGTGCGGTATCAGTAAGCTACTATTATACGCAGTATATTACTGCGGAAGGCCAGCCAGTTAGCTACCAGTGGTCGTAACCGCTTTGCGCGTGGCAGTGATAGCGGCAGTACAGGGCAGCAGAGAGCAGTAATTGTGGCTAGGACGTACGTACACAGACAGCAGCAGCCAGCAGGCAGGCAGGCACAGGCAGGCCGGCAGGTAAGGCAGCTCATTGTGGCAGCAGGGCAGGTAGGCAGGTAGGGCAGGTAGGCAGGCAGGCTAGGGCAGCAGGCAGGTTAGCAGATAGCAACGCAGGCAGGTAGGCGCAGGGGTAGGCACGGCAGCTAGGCACAGGCAGGTAGGGGCAGGTAGGCAGCAGCTAGGCAGCAAGGCAGTAGGCAAGATAGGCAGCCGCAGGTAAGGCAGCTAGGCAAGCAGGCAGGTAGGCAGGTAGGCAGGTAGGCAGGCAGCTAAGGGCAGGTGGCAATGCAGGCAGATAGGCAGCCGGAGTGTCAGTAAGGGTAGGAAGCAGCTAGGCAGTGGCCAGGCAAGGGATAGGCAGCCGGAGGCAGGCCAAGCTAGGGCAGCAGCAGGTAGGGCAGGTAGGGACAGGTAGGCGCAGGTAGCAAGCAAGCTTAAGGCAGCAGCAGCGTAGGCATGGGGAGGGTAGCCAGGTAGACAGTGCAGCTAGGCAGGGCAGGGCAGTAGGCTAGTATAGGGCAAGGCAGCATAGGTAGGCAGAGGCATGCGGTAGGCAGCTAGGCAGGAGGTAGGCAGGTAGGCCAGGTAGGGCAGTAGCGCAGATAGGGCAGCCGGCAGGTAGGCACGCTAGGCAGCAGGCAGGTAGGCAGTAGGCAGGTAGCGCCAGGCACGCTAGCTAGCAGGCCAGGCGGCAGGTAGGCAGGTAGGCAAGGTAGGGCAGTAGTCCAGCAGCAGGTAGGGCAGCAAAGTAGGCAGCAGGCAGGTAGGCAGTAGCAGGCAGGCAGGTAAGGGCAGGTACGGCAGAGCAGGCCGGTAGGCAGCCAGGTAGGTAAGCAGGTAGACAGCCAAGCAGGTAGGCAGGAGGCAGGTAGAAAGGCAGCAGTAGAAAGCAGCGCAGGTAGGCAGGAGGGAGGTAGGTAGGTCAGGAGGCAGGTAGAAAGCAGGAGGAGGCAGGTAGGCTAGGCAGCAGGCAGTAGGCAGCGAGGCAGGTAAAAGCGGGGCAGGCTAGGCAGCAGGCAGGTAGCAGGAGGAGGCAAGTAGAAAAGCAGGCAGGAGCAGTAGGTAGGGCAGGAGGGGTAGGTAGCAGGCAGGCAGGCAGGCAGGTAGGCTAGGAAGGGAGGTAGGATAGGCAGGAGGCAGGTCACGAAAGCAGGCAGGTAGGCAAGCAGATAGAAAGACAGGCAGGCAGGTAACGTGCAGCAACAACCGTCGTTGCGTCACACAGCTGCGTCGATAAACACGCTTCTCGATTATGTCTCTCTCGGAATATTCATTCACCCTAGCGCCCCACAGCTGCAGACATAGGCCGCGGAGTTGCAATCACCGGAGAAACATCAAAGTCGACAGACTCTCTGCGGCGCAATCAATTTATTATAATTCTAACATTCTAAATCTGCGAGTCATGATATGAGATTTATGACGCCGTGCTGCGCAAGATCCTGAAATCTCAACGCGTCTCACCGGCAGACATCTTCGCTTATAAGATATAATTGTTACATCCCTACAATGCTCTCACGTGTCCCTGTAAGCACTCAACAGCAGTGTTCTGCACTTCCTACAGCAATCCCTATACAATACTCGCCTCCCTCGATCTCCTACGCTATGCATTCATCCACACCGTCTCCTACGGCGACGTTCAGCGCTCCTGTACTACACGATTTACGAAGCAATAGCATGCAGAGAATACATGAATAGAGATAATCTGATCGCTATTCATGTACACCTGACAGCGTCGCATCCCGGAGGCCCTCGGCCTGCCTACGCGCAGCGGGAATCGTCGTGTACGGCGTGTCCAGAACAGCCTGGCCATGAATGCGTATCAGGGATGTGAATTACGACAAAAAATCTACAAAAATGTCTCACAAAAGAATCCCATGAAAAATTTGTCATGATTCATTCATCCCTGAGGCATATGTATGGTACGACGGAGTCCCGTGGCGCGTAAAATACCCGCAGACGCCCTGTGGAGTGAGTGATCCACACGGTCGGAACTGACTGCTCGTGACAGACACGCGCTCGAACTCTATCCGTTTCTCTTTATTTACATATATCAGCGTTTGAATATCGATCCGGTCGAAATACAGCGTAATATTCGAACCACACTGCGCGGCAAACCATGACAGTTACCGATCCCTGTGTTGACATTGAAACAAAATCGGCAGCAACTCGGGCTAGGTACCTAGATAATAACAGCAACTCATTACAACCGACGCACGGGCGGAAACCGCCTAAGTGTACGCCACGTTTAACGTCATACGTGTATAAACACGTGCAGAAATAGCAACGAAAAACTAAGCAAACACGATTAAATAAAGCTATCGTCGTAACAGGATCAGCTGTGCGCAGAAATAACGTCAATCTAATAAACATCTCATGAATCGCTAAACCATCATGCACGGACGAAGATAAACCAACACGAACAGTTGTTATCCTACATGTACTAACCTAATTATGCGACAATTTTGATGAATGTTTCTCAGACCATTAGACCATCATACTCAGTACAGATGGCTCAAATAATAACAGACTTCATCAATCCATGTACGACCAAATATTTAATGTCAATCGCAAACATTTGGATTCTCATATTACCATTGCTTGCCTGGCATATATGTTTATAGAGGACTTCGAGTATTACTGTACATCCTGTGGCAACACTAGTTTCTGTAGACAAACTTTATGTGTGTGTGAGGAGCAGCAGCAGCAGTAGTAGAACTAGCAATAGAAATATTTGTAGTAGTAGTAGTAGCAGCAGCAGCAGCAGCAACAACAACAAACAAAAACAACAACAACAATAACAACAACAACAACAACAACAACAACAACAACAACCACAACAAAAGTAGCAGTAGCAGCAGGTGAATCAGCAGCAGCAATAGGGAAAATAGCAGCAATAGCTTTACCAGCAGCGGTGGTAGTAGCAGTGAGAGTAGCAGTGAGAGTAGCAGTAGCCATTGCTATTGCAGTAA